TGGCTCAGGTGACCATGTGTTTGTCTTCAGGATGTCAGCTGGGCTGCAGTCATCCATAGGACTGACTGGGGCTGGAGGGGCTATTGCCCAGACAGCACAATCACAGGTGGTTAATGAAGAAGCCTCGGCTCTCGGCTGGCTGTGGGCAGGAGGCCTCAGTTCCTCATCACAGCACTTCCCCATAGGACTGCTTTAATGTCCTCATGGCATGACAGCAGGCTTTCTCCAGAGAGGGATCCAAGAGAGAGAAGATGGAGGAAGCCAGGATGCCTTTTATGATATAGCATCACAAGTCACATACTGCTGCCTCTGCCATATCCTGTTTATTAGAGGTGAGTCGCTAATTGCGGCCCATGTTCAGCTATATATCTTGAAAGAAAAATATCAAAGAATTTGTGCACCTGTCTTAAAACCACCACATGTAAATACTATTAATAATCTTATTTTTTCCACTTAACATATTTTGAACATTTTTTCATTTCATTAATTATTTTGCTACAGTATTACTTTTAATAACTCCCTAACATACTGCATGAGTGTTAACAGCAGTCATTTAACCAGAATCCCATTGGGTACATTTAAATTATTTTGAAGTTTCTGACATTTGAATAATACTACAAGAAACATTTTGGTGTGCATATGTTTCTATAATCCATGATTATTTAACTAGGCTGATAGGTAGATTAAAAAATGGTCATTGGTGTGGAAACGGTTTCAGCGACTCAGAGAATGGAGCAAAAGCCACTTAATAAGACATTGTTTGGACACTCTCCAGGGGGAGGCATGGGGAGGGGTGGAAATCCTGGGAAGTGGTTTGGATCAGCAAGATTCCAGAGCTCCTACAGGATTATAAGGGTAAGTGGAGGAGAGAGACAGCTGTCAAAATGAAAGGCCTTTGGCAGTGATTCCGCAGGGAGAGCATGAGGTGCGCCCACAAGGGCAGAGAAGAAAGAGGAGACCTGAAGGACAGCAGACAAGTGATGAGAGACGGTAAAACCTGGGTACGAGGAATCCAAAAACGGCGAAGGCGACCCAGGACACAGGAAAGGGGTGGGTGGAAAGTCACTTAATGCTTCTGTGGAAATCTATTTTTAAAAATGAGTTTTCTATTTGTCCAGTCTCAAGATAGCGTGGGTTTAGAAGTTTATATGTATTTCATGAAATTCCAGAGTGAATGTTTTAGCATCCAGGCCGTGAGGCTGTGTGCACCCTGGTTATCTTCTTTACTACTTGGGATGAATTTCTGGCCTTTGATACTATTGTTTTGCATTTATAAAATGGACATGATGACATTTTTCAGATTTGCTTAAAGTTTAAGCTTTCTGAGCAAAGATTGTGGGCCACTTTGTTTAAAGGCTCTTTGAGTGGTAAACATGCCTTAGAAGGTAGAGATTGGCTACCTCCCTGGAGGGATTTAGAGGCTGTCCCCTCCCTGTCAGGGACATGTGCTCACATTCTAGGCTTCTCTCCTCCGAGAGACTTTGTTTCTATTGCAGAGTAAAATATATGATCTTTTTTACTGAGGAGGATAGCAGGCGCAGGTGTGTCAACCATCTATATAAGCTCTGAGTTTCATGAAATGGGATTCCTCTCCAGTGGCATAAACCCCACTGCATGCTCAGGTATGTCTGCCTCTACCCCCTCACTTCATGGGGACCTGGGGCTTGGGTAACCGGGGCTAAGTTTGCTTGGCAACTAAACAGTCTGATCCTTGATCCAGAAATTGCACGACGTGAAGGTGTGTGTATAGTCTGCTAGCATGTATGTTTGTATACATACATATACACATGTATACATGGATACAAATACATACATGCTACCCAGGTCTACACAGACACACAAGGACTCCTGTATATAACTGTGGCAAGGTAACTTGTTAACTCACTAGTAGGATCTCAGACCTGTCAGGGTTTCAAACAAAATATTGAGAAATGGAACAGCAGTAGTGGGACATCTCTTTCAAGATCAGGGTAGAAGGACGGTGACTTCAGTCAGCCTGACACTCTCCCCAGTCTCTCCCTGCTCTCTCGCTCTGAAGAAAGAAGCTGCTATGTGGTGTGCAGCCCTATGGAGAGGCTCACAGCACAAAGACCCAGGGTAGCCTCCTGCCAACTGCCCCCAAGAACTGAATCCTGCCACCACCTTGTGTGTGAGCTTGGAAGCTTGTCCTTCCCCACTCAGGTCTTGCAGTGACCGCAGCCCCAGTCTTGTGAGACCCAGAATAGAGAACCCACCTACGCTAGGCCTGGATTCCTGATCCATAGAAATGGTGATGTAATAAAGGCTGTGGTTTTTAAAACACTAAGTCTTAGAGTAATTTCTAGTAAGACGGGCTTTTACGTATCTTGCAAAACTGCTCAGGTTCATCCCAAGTGGACTGTGAAATAAAGCCTATTGACCATGGAATATCGCCCCTAACACCTTCACCTTCTCACCCCACAGGCTCCAGTAAAACTTTGACAGACACAGAAACAGATGGAGGCCCAATCAGACTGCCCAGTTCAAGGACAATTCAGATGATTCGGTACAAGGGCCTCATACAGGCAAAATTTCTTTTCAAGAATTTAAAGTAATTATAAATTCACCTCTTACTCCTGATTTGTGATCTAAAATATTTTTCTTCCCAATCCTGATGTAATATGTAATAACTCACAGGCAGGGGCAGTGGCAGGAGGGGGGCCCAAGGGAGTGTGCAGCTCTGCACCCAGCACCTTCGCTCTGGGGAAGGGGACAGGGGTGGGACCACGGGGCCTCCCAGGAACGGTGGGTGGGAGAGCCAGACCCTAAGGTCCAGGGGAAGGGAATTGGGGCTCCATGAGGTTACAGGGCTGAGCCACTGGGCCCACTGATGAGGATGCAGAAAGGCCAGCGGGGAGAGAAAGGGAAGGTGGCCCAGGAGTTGCAGGAGGCCCCCAGGTGAGGGGTCACAGAATGACCCCAGCAAGCAGGGGCCCACCCCCGCCTTCCCAGCAGCTCTGTCAGAGCTGGTCTGCACCTCAAGGGAGCCCAGCAGGCCCAGGTGTGGCCCAGAGACATCACCTGCGGAGGCTGTGGGGAAGCCGGGCCAGGCTGGGGTCCCTCCCCCAGGGGAGGGGCAGGGAGGAGGGGCTGGATTCCAGTCCCCCAGGAACCTGGCGCCCGGAAATCCAGAGTCAGAGCAGGAGACACCCATGCGGGGCGAGCTTGAGCCCCAGGCATAGAAGGGAGGTGGATGGAGCGGGTCACACAGCAGGAACACACACGCCTGCCCCCGGGCCGCTCAGCACTGCTCCAGAGGACAGGAGGACGGGGGAGAAAGCACACACACACGCCTCTTTTTATATAAAATTGCATATTTAATTTGGTCACGAATTTATAAAAATGCATATTTATATAAAATTATAAAATTTTTAATATAACATTGCATAATTTGGTCACGAATTCATAAACACATGAGTATTTTGTACCTAATGATATTTCTTGTATTGTCTGATACTTCTAACAAAATCTTCAAGAAGGGGTCCTCTCATTGAGAGGAGACTTGAACAGACATCCAATTTTCAAGTAAAACGTCAAAAGTATCACATTTGCACTGGCATAAAGCAATACAGGATGCAAGGTCACATTTCTTAAAGATTCTCAATGGTAAAACACACAATAAACATGTGAACAAGTGAATATAGCTGACAAACACTGGCAAGGCTAATACTTTAGATTGGCGCTCAAGGATGTCTTCTGAGAAAGGGACAAGTGACCCAGCACTCGATTGACAAGAATCCATTTATATTTCCCTCTGAAGATGAAGACAAAGTGTCCCGCACAGAAGGAACAGCAAAGGCAGGAAACACCTGACTTCCAGGAAAGGAAGTCCTGACTTCAGGGCCAGGGGCATATAGCACCAAGACCACAGGGTCGGCCCTTCTATAAACTCAAGTGGACTCCACATGCTATATCCTGATGTGCCTAAATTTCGGGCAATTCCAGTTTTGGCCACATTAGCCACATCAACCTTAGGGAAGACAACACACAAAGCTTTGAGATGGAATAGACCAAAAACCCCTGAGAATTGCTTCCACCATTAAATTATCCTGCAGCAGTTGGAACACTAGGGAGATGAGTTTAATGGCAGAAAGATATTTTTAAAAAGCAATAAAAGGACCAAACCTTAATATAGCAGCCATTTCAGGTCAATTCTCACAGTATTTAAGAACTGGTATTATTGTGTGAGTTTCTTCTGCAGAAGGCCAAAGCTTCCAAAGGGGCTGAGATCCTTTATATAGCCAATTCAGATGAACAGGAGGAGGCCCAGGCATGACAGCCCAGTTCACGGACACCAGATACAGGGCTGCACATGGATGCCACTTCTCCTCACTCTCTGCTCACTTGTAAACTCCTACCTATAAAAAATGTAAATAGTCATACAGCTATAAAACTGACATGTTTAAAGTGGGCCCTGGAGAAGTCACCAGGCAACCAAAAGTGACCAAACTTCCTTTGAGGGAGAAGATGCTATCAGTGCTCTCCCCACAGTGGGCTTTTTCTCCTTTCCTTTTTTAATTTTTTTTCCTTTGGTTTTGTTGTTGTTGTTTTGTGTTTGTTCTTTTTGTTGTTGTTTCGGTTTTTTTGCCTCGTAGCTTTTGGTATCTTACTTCCCCGACCAGGGATTGAACCTGGGACCTCAGCAGTGAAAACGCAGAGTCCTAACCACTGAACTGCCAGGGAATTTCCTCCTTTTGTATTTCTAATTGTTTTTGATTCCTAGCTCTCATCCAGGTAACCCACATAACCAACCTAGAAACTATATTTCCAAAAATTTTTTAACACTTATATAAATATATATATAAACATAAAAGTACAAAAATTCACAATGTTTGCACTTTAATGATGTGTATTATGTTACACATCATTAAATGCATACATATCAACATGAATGACAAATAAAATAACAAATACAAATAAAAAGTGCAAGTCTATAAGGATAAAAAAGTGTCTTCAAGTGAAAGACTGAGGTCCTCAAACACTCAGGACACAGCAGAGCCTGCTTCGCTCTCTTCATAGACATACTTTCCCGAGTCCAGTAGGTGGTCCTGAATTTTCTGCTTTGCCAATCTTTGCCCCAGCTTTTCCAAGGCGTCCAGCAGGGTGTTGACTGAGGCCTCCCGTCCCTTGTTGCTGACCCAAGTATCCAGCATTTCATACAAGGCATCCCGAGGGACCCGGACCCCTTCTCTGACCAGAAGGATCTCATTTTGCGTGAGGCCCAACTTCCTCATGAGCAAATCCCAGGAGTCACACGGCACGATGGTTGCAAAGTCATCAAAGAACAGCCTCAGGCCTAAGTTGGGGGGAAGTCACAGAGATAGAGTTGGGACAGGCTTCAGAAAGGGCAGAGGACCCTCAATCAGGCCTAGACCCCAGGGTGGGACCTGAGGAGCGCCCCCTGCTGGTGAACCTGCTGCTCTGCGTCCCTGACATGCTTCCCATCAGCAGAGAATCAGGCCACACTGCATGGGCCTCACCTGTGCCCAAGGCACTGCAGGGAGTCCAGGTCTCCAGAGAGTCCTGCCCTAAGGGGGCGGGGGGGAATGAGGGCCCACCAGGGAGGGGAGATGGACCTCATGGAGAGAGAAGGCAGTCTGTGGTAGGAGACAGAGGGCAGAACACAGTGGTGCAACAGACCTCAGAGGAGGGCACCTGCCGTTCTCACGAGAGTGAGGTCCCCCGGCTGCCACCTCTGCAATGGGGACAGAGCAAGGGCCTGGAGGGAGGAGGGCCTCTGGCCTCACGCCCAGCTCGGCCTCACTGACTGACACTGTGGCAGAGCTAGATGGGGACAGACTCGGAGCAAGAATTTAACCCATAAAATGGAGCAAACACCACCCACCTCACGGGACTGTACTGGGGATTCAATGAGATGTGTGTGAAATGCAGTGCACAGCACCGTCCATAGGTACATAAGGTGGGCCCCGAATACAAATTTATATTTTCTAACAGCTACACTGAAAAACGTAAAAAGTAACAAGTAATAACTAATTTTCATAAAATAGGGTACTAAATATATTCTAAAATTTTTCATTTCAACATGTAATCAATATACAACAAACTGTTAATGAGACATATTACAGTCCTTTTTCCTACCAATTCTTTGCAATACAGTATCGAGTTACACTACAGCTCATCAGATTTGGCCACAGGTCAGGTGCTCCACAGCCTCCTGCGGCCCCTGGGTGCCCTGCTGGACGGCACAGCCCCTCAGATGCCTCAGGGTGGGCCAACCTGGCCCTGAGCAACAGGGGAGGAGGGAGGATGGGGGGAGGGAAGGACAGGGAGGTGTTGGGGACACTGTTAGGGGACAGAGGGGTGCAGAGTGGGAAGAAGAAGAGGGGGCAGAGAGGGAAGTAGAGTCCCGAAGGTCCAGTGACAAGCCATCCCTGCTCTGAGTTGCCCTAACAGCTATGGGGACGGCAGTTAGGACACTGTCCCTCTGCCCTCCACTCCTGCTCCAGCGCCCGGGGAAAGCACTCACTTTCAGTGGGGTCTGCACCGTTTGCTGGGACCAGCAGCCTTCTTCTCGTGTGAGACGCTTCCGCTTCTGCTGGTTCCTGTAAAACACAGTGGAGAACAGCCTTGGTCTTAATCAGGGGTCCTGGGTTCCAGAACTGAGCCTAGCAAACATTGCTCTGAAATTCTGGCATATGCAGCCATAAGTGAAACAAAAACACAATGTAGGATATTTGAAGGGAGGAGACAAAATAGTCATTATTTGATATATCATTGTATTCTTACCAAACTCTAATGGTTTAGCGACAATACTTAAATGTGAATGTATGGATGGATGAATGTTAAAAATTGTAGCAGATAATAAATTATATAAAGAATTACAAGAGTCAGATAAACTCATAAGGTTACAGAACACTTGTAGTACAAAGACACAGCCTCAACAAGAAATACGAGAAATTTCCCAAAGAAAAACACACATCTAGTTGAGGTATTATAAAACCCTTGACTTGAAAATGCTACCTCTCTTCATAAGAAAAATACAGAATATCTAAAAGATCTCAGTTCTTCCTAGACTAATTTATAAATTAAGGTAATACTCAAAAAATTAGCAGCTAAATCGAGTATAAAGAATGAGATGGTAACTCAGAACAATTCAGCAAGCTCCTCATATCTTATTTATCACAAAATAAATTCCATTTAGCTTATTTTTTTTAAATTTTATTTATTTATTTATTTTTGGCTGTGTTGGGTCTTCATTGCTGCATGCAGGCTTTCTCCAGTTGCTGCGAGCCGGGGCTACTCTTCGTGGTGGTGTGCGAGCTTCTCATTGCGGTGGCTTCTCTTGCTGCAGAGCACAGGCTCTAGGTGTGCAGGCTTCAGTAGTTGTGGCACGTGGGCTCAGTAGTTGTGGCTCAGTGGGCTCTAGAGCGCAGGTTCAGTAGTGGCGCACAGGCTTAGTTGCTCCATGGCATGTGGGATCTTCCCAGACCAGGGCTCGAACCCGTGTCCCCTGCATTGGCAGGCGGATTCTTAACCACTGCGCCACCAGGGAAGTCCCTCCATTTAGCTTATAAGCTCTATGCTACCAATCACATCATTTTAAAAATGCCTACCTGGGCTTCCCTGGTAGGCCTGTACACCACGATGAAGAGTGGCCCCCGCTTGCCACAACTAGAGAAAGCCCTTGCACAGAAACGAAGACCCAACACAGCCAAAAAAATAAATAAAATTTAAAAAGTTTTTTAAAAAGCCTACCCAAGAAATTAGAGAATTTTATCTTCTGTTTGATGAAGGACTTTTTTTTTTTTTTTTTTTTTTGCTGTACACGGGCCTCTCACTGTTGTGGCCTCTCCCGTTGCGGAGCACAGGCTCCAAACCGCACGCTCAGCGGCCATGGCTCACAGGCCCAGCCGCTCCGCGGCATGTGGGATCTTCCCGGACCAGGGCACGAACCCGTGTCCCCTGCATTGGCAGGCGGACTCTCAACCACTGCGCCACCTGGGAAGTCCCGATGGAGGACTTTAAAAGCTCTGAGCAATGAAAAATAAATGTATCGATAGATTTAATTAGTTAATATATAAAATTCTGCACATTAAAATACTAAACCAAATGAAAAAACACACATGCATGTACTCATGGGCACAAGAGCATGTCTGCTTAGAAAGACTCTTAACAGACAAGACAACAATCATCTGAAAATAATCAAAACAAAAAAAATACAAGTTTAAGTCAGTTTTCTGCTTGTTACCAAAAAAGAAATATATTAACGTCATACAAAACTATTGAAATCATATGACCCCAAACGTGTGTGTGTGTGTGTGTGTGTGTACAGTGCAAAATACTTCCATACGTTGACAAAGATTCTACTTCTGCTAGGAAGCCACCCCACAAATACGTCTATTCATTGAGACAAATACTAATTTTCAAATAGATTCAACTTAATAATAATTTTGAAATAAATGTGAAATTCCTAACGTGATGAGGAATGGCTTAAAAGCATGTAACAATCACACAGAAAAATATCATGTAGCTTTAATTCCATCACTGAACAATCATGGGAGTGACCACTCTGGCTATTCTAGACACCAGGAATGTGGTGAGAACAAGACAGATGATAAGTAGCATAAGAGCTGCCAGTCGACCATAGCAGGGCCTGGGCTCCCTTCCCCTCCATGACCATGATCTTCATCCATCACCACTTCCCCACGGGACAGGACACCTGACCAGCATCGGCCTTTCCCTGCTTCTACCGCGGTCCTGGGCTAGCGGAAGGGCCAGGGCACCACACTCACCAGCAGACGCTTTGCTTCCCCCTGGGACTGGGCCGTGACATCCGTCGGCTTCACCTGCTCTTCTGCCTCCTGCTCAGGGACCAGATCAACCAGCGAATCTCTGTTGATCAGCATATTGTTGTGGGCATTGTCCAGAGCCCCAGGACCTCTTAAGGGATGTGAGCGCCAGAAGAGGACCTTGGGAAGGCAAAGAGCGGACTCAGGAATCCATACCCACAGATCCATGTAGTGTCTGCGGGGGACATTGTGGGTTTTGCCTCCCCACCTACTTCCATGCTGTGCCCCCCAGGTGGGTACAGACTCAGCATATCCAGGGCTCTGCTGATGGCACCTGGACCCTAGTGCTGTGCTAAGGGGGGTTCAGCACCCCTTCCTGACACCCTCCGTGCCCCAGGGTGCATCCAGGGTTATGGGGTGAGGGTGCCTCACAAGCAGTAAGAGGGACAGGGCTAGCACTGCCAACCAGCCTTAGAGCTGCTCTCAAGAGGCCAGTTGCTCTCCTACAGTCAGCCCACAGCTCCTAGGCCACTTGAGAGAGCCAGGGACAACAGCATAGGACAAATTGGGGACTGTGTCCACCCAGGGCCAAGCAGTTACTGAGGGCCTGATGCCACCAGGTCCTGGAGAAACCAACTCACTTTGTCCATGCACTTAGGGTCCACACCACGACCTAGAAGAGAAGAGGCATCCACCTGAGCAGTGGGGAGCGCCCTCTTGCAGCACCTCCCTCCCCAGGGACAGTGCCAGGGACAGGGTGTGGGCTGGGGGCTCAGACACTGAACAAGGAGCCCCGGGGCTGGTGACAGGGAGCGGGCCATTCCAAATCTGGAGAACCCTCAGGGAGGGAGAAGAGAAGGGGGAAGATGAAATCTATGTAAAATCTCTGTGGGGTTCTGCTGAACGACCCTCTCCCCTGACTCTTGTCACCCAGTCAAGGTGCTGACCACCTCTCTGCCCTGGCTGGGGGTCCTAAAGACATTAAGAACTGACCCTGCTCCCCACCCACCATACTTGGCCAGGGGGAAGAGGGCACCGTCAGCTGAGCTGGGGGACTCATGTGATCCCGGCTTCGTAGGAGCAGGTGAGGTGGGAGGTGGAGGGGGATCCCGGGGAACAAGATCAGAGCCAAGCCAGGAGGATTGGGGAGATGGAGGAGGGGGCCAGCACCTCCCCCTTCCCTCCCAGAACCTCACCTTGAATGAAGAACCGCCAGAAAACATATGCGATCAGCAGCAGGACACAGACAGGTATAATTCCAGCTACAAATCCAATCACCAGCTCTGAAGTGCCTGAGGAGGGAGAGGGAGTGGTGGGCAGTCTCGGGCGCATGGTCACTGTCTCACCAGGAACCAGGGCCTCCCCACTGGCCTGGGTACCTGATTTTTGGTCCACACATGTGAGGTCGCTGAAGGGGCTACAGGGCGTGGCCACGACCATCCCATCAGGGCACCTGGGTACAGACACAGGGAGGACATGGAGGGGATCCGTCAGGGAAAGCTGGCCAGATGAGGAGAAAGAGGGAGAAAACTCCCACCTGGGGTACCCTGACAAGACAGTGCAGGAGGGACGGGCTTCTCCTGTCCGCAGGGCTGGGGCCCCTCACTACCCCTTGCTGGGTGGGAGAAGGATCTGGGCTTGTGCACTTCAGGGCCCAGGGCTCCTGCTGAGTGGTCAGAGCTGCCCCTTCAGGAGCTGGGCCCCTGGGAGGGGGCACCTCATCCAAGTCAAGGGTCAGAAGGGTTTGGGCACAAGCCAAGCCTCATCCTCCAGTCAAGCTTTAATACAAGGACCCTCTTGTCCTCCACCTGTTGACTCTTCCTACCAATCACAGCCAGCACTGGAGCATCAGAGAAGAGCTAATTACTATTGGCCCCTACACCCCCAAATAGGAAAGATTCAGATCTTATTGGGGAACAAGGGCTGGATGTGAGGCCAGCTGAGTTGGCTCGGGTTTTATGGGAACCTTGAAGGAGCACACATATGGCCTCATTATGACTTCTGTCTGTGGTAGACACTTGTATTTCTAGGCTCCTTCTGAGGAGGTGTGGGAAGGGGGCCCTGGGGAAGGACACACAGAGGAATGAGGAGGGGCTGCTGCATGTTCAGGAGACCCCACAGGCACAAGGGAGCCCTGAGGAGGTAGGAGGGGATGCATGGAAACCAGAGAAATGGGTACAAGGAAACTGGGGGTCTCTGTGGGTTGGGAGCCCCCTAGGCTCCCATGTCTCACCGGGTGCTGCACTTGTAGCAGAATTCAGGTGCATCTTCTCTACGGAAAGTGCCAGGTTTGCACTGACACTCAGTGTCCTTGGTTGAGGTACACGGACTTTTCTCTTCTTCCCCTGGAGACCAAAGATAAGGTTTTGGGGGTGTGTTTCCCTCACGTGTCTCTCAACCATTCTTCACCACCTAGATCCCCACCCGCTCAGTTCTACTCAGTTCAGGAAGTAATTTGGGGGCCATTTTCTGCAGCAACACACGCAGACCATCCAAAGGACAGCCACTGTTCACGTGTGTCACCAATAGAGGCATATGAAAGGGACCATGCGTCATTACAGATTACATCAGGATTGGGAAGAAAAAGGTTTGAGATCACAAATCAGGAGCAAGAGCCGGGGTGGGGGGGGCAGGGTGTAATATGAGACACTCTGGATGGAGAGGACCGCTTGGGTGACTTCCCAACACCTGGCCCAGCTGGTCATGAGAGAGGCTGAGATCCCGGAGCAGAAGCCACAGGGCTCACAGGGGCCCCGCCCAGAACCAGACTCACCACACAGCTCAAACCCAGCCCTGTCCCACTCACCCAGGCCTCCCATGCTGTCACTAACCAGCCCCTCCGTCAAGGGACACATTACTCCCCCGCTTCCAACTGATGCTCTGAAAGACTTCCCTACCAGGTGGCATACGTTATACAAATAATTTGTTTTCATTTATTTTACTGACCTAAGACAGGGTAGGATGAAGACCTAGCTGGGCTGGAAATCAAGTTTCTGACTCCCCGTTCCATTCAAATCCCATCTCATCACCCAACTGTAGGCATGGGGACATGTTCTGTACCTGATTTGCAAATCTTACAGAGTAAGCAAGAAGAGAGGGTGTTTGAATAATTGGTGTAATCCACCTTATCCATGCACGGCGTACAATCTCCGCTGGCTTCCTCCATATGGAACCCTGGGAAGGAAGGGAAAAGCTGGTGAGTAAATCCCCACAGGATGCCCAGAGGCTGGCAGTGTGGACAGGGCTGCCTCTTTCGGCCATCAGTGGAATCCACACGGGGAACTCTCCTTGACCTAGCTTTAATCTTTTGATTCTATATCTACCACATACCTTAGACCAGTACTGCCAACAGGAATATATTACAAGCCACACATAAAAGTCACATTCATAGTTGGCACATTAAGGAGTAAAAAGAAAGAGGCAATAACCAACATAGTATCATTTCAACATGTATCAATATAAAACAGTGAGATTTTTACTTACTTTAATACCTCACTAAAAAAATAAAACTCATGCTCCCTTCACAGTGTTCAGGGTCTGTGGCCTCCTCCCACCTGTCCCGGTGACCTCTCCACCCTCCACTCACCCCAGCTGCCCCCTAGCTTTGCTCAAACAAGCCCAGCCCTGCCCCCTGGGGTGACAGTTCCCGGGGCCCTCTTAGGAGCACTCTACCTGGCTCTCTGCACCAAAGTCACCATCCCCAGGAGGCCACACCAACCCCGACTCTGTCCCACCCATCACTCAATTATCCTCATGGTTTCTATCTCATCTCTCTGACTGTCATATCTGTCCATCTGTCTGGGTACCATCCTAGGAGGAGGGTTCCAGGAGGGCAGGGGCCTCGTGCCCTCCACTGGCACAGCGCCTGGCACACGGAAGACTTCCAGTAAATGCTTGTGGAATAAGAGCCAGGAACTGCAGGAATCAGAAGACCAAGAAGGACATGAAGATAAGGGAGACAAGGGTCGGGTAAGGGTTGGAGATCAGCCTTAGAATGTACCTGGTGGACACAACTTCTCTGAGAGGCTGCGTTTCCATCCCTGTGGGGCAGATAATTGCTGGTGAAATTTTTCCTGCCTTATGGGCATGGCTAAAGCAGCCGCAATCTGTGGAGACAAAGCAGGGACAGGCATGAGTGGCTTCCAGACTCTCATCCCTCCCCGGATGTATCCCACAGTCCCTTGACCACAGCCCGCAAAACAAAACAGAACTGGGGCCTTTCTTCCAGCTATAAACTCTCATTCTTTTCATGTCTGTCCCCTGGCCTTTTGTGCTACCAAGTAACTTACACTTAAATTTTTTTCCTGGTATTCCTTTCTCTTATAATAAAATAAAATATGTTTATTCCAGAAAGCATGGGCAAGGAAAAATTTTTTATAAGAATACAGAAACTACAGAGATCCCCCCAGTTAGAGAAAACATCCATTATTTTGTGTCTTTACTTCTTCTATTTGACCATATGTGTAATATTCTCAGGCTCTCTCTCTCTTTCTCACAGGCGTGTACGTGCGCGCACACACACAATTTCACAAATGAGTCATACTATGCACACACTTTTTCAAAATCAGGATACAGAATCACAGTTGAGTAATGAACCTTTGGCTTTAACCAGACAAACTGTCCTGGAAAGGAAGCTGTTAGCGTTCCACATAATGAGTCACACAGAGGAAGAAGAAACAGCAAATACAGGGTTTTGAGATGAGTCTCCATGCTAACAATGACACAATGGGGCCAGTCGAAAAAATTTGAATGGAGTCTGAGGATTTGATGAGGATTAACGTGTTTATGTTAGTGTTCTGACGTTGAAGGCTATGTTGTAGTTTTGGGGGAGAATGTCCTCATTTGTAGGAAATATACATTCAAGTATTCAGTCATGGGATCTATCATATCAGCAGCTATTTTTCACATGGTACAGGATAAAGGGGGAGGGCGGGTTGTATAATCTTTGCAACTTTGCTTTAACCTGGGAGTGACAAAATAGAAAGTGAAATTAAGGGGAAAAAAAGAAAGAAAGAAAAACACAGTTAAGATGAAAACAGCTTACGTGGAGCCCAGTTCAACTGCCTGGACCTAAAAAAGATAAAATGCAGCTCTCTTCCACAGAAAAGTCCGTCAAGTATTTGGGGACAGCTAAGCCCACATATGTCCTCTAAGTCGTCCCTTCCCCAGGCTGGGCCTCCTCTGACTCCCCACAAGTTGGTGGAATCTCCTTTCCCTGCCTTCAAAGTCCTATTCCCTCCTCTCTTTCCTGGTTCTCCTCTCACAGGCGCTCTCCCTCAATGTTTTATTATGAACATTTTCATGCATCCAACAAAGTTTAAGGACCTGTACGGTAAACTCTCATATACTCACCACCTAGATTCTGTAACTAATATTTTGCTATATTTGCTTTATCACATATTTCTTTCTTTTTTAAATTAATTTATTTAATTTTTATTTATTTTTGGCCGCGTTGGGTCTTCGTTGCTGCACACGGGCTTTCTCTAGTTGTGGCTCGCGGGCTCTAGAGCGCAGGCTCAGTAGTTGTGGCGCATGGGCTTAGCTGCTCCACGGCATGTGGGATCTTCCCGGACCAGGGCTTGAACCCGTGTGCCCTGCATTGGCAGGCGGATTCTTAACCACTGCGCCACCAGGGAAGCCCCATATTTCTTTTTTTATCTATCCCTCTGTCCATTCTCCTATGTGTCTTATTTTTATGATGAAATTCACATCTGCAACTCAATACTTCAGCATTGTCAGTAACTTGAGCTCCATATTTCTTTACAGTTTTTTTCAGTGTTAAGATTTACAAAGAAATGCACAATTCTTCAGGGTACCATTCAAATAGTTTTTAAATAAAAACGCATACACTTGGGAAACCCAAACCCTCTGTCTAGATCCTGGAAATGAGCATTACTACAGAACATTCCTTCACACCCCTTTCTAGGTTATCCTAATCTCCTATGTGACTCCAAAAGGAAGCGGCCTTCATCAGATGGAGGAAGGTCTCTTCTGCCCTGATATAATGAGAGGTTTTAGCATGACAGGGAGGTTAAGTGTTGTCGAATGCTTTTTCTGCATCTGTTAAGCTGTTCATATAGTTTTTCTCCTCCATGGTGTTAGCATAGTGAAAAACACTGATTCATTTTCAGATGTTATTCCTGTGATTAACCCCACTTGGTCATGGCATGTTTTCTTCTTTAAATATTCCTGAATTTAGTTTACTATTTGTTTTGTTAAGGAATTTTGCCTCTGTTTTTAGGAAGGATATTGAAAGGTATTAATATTTTTCTTCTTTTCAAATGTTTTTGTCAGGTTTCACTATTAGGGTTATGCTGGGCTTAGAATCTACTAAAGAACTCTTATGTTGTCTGAAAGAATTTGTGTAAGATTTTTGTCAGTTCTTTTACTGTTTGTATTTTTGCCCCCTCCCCTGCTGCCTAATCTGGGGTCTCCTGGTTATCCACTCCCAGTCTCAGAAATCTCATGGATCCTTGAAAATCTCTACTGGCACTGAGGAATCAAAACCACAGCACTGTGGTGCCCCATTTTTACTTCTTAGACTAGCAAAGAATTACAGTTTAATGTGGCAAAGGTGTAGGG